CTCTACTTATTTCACTTGAGAATACTATCTCAACAGCCATTTATGAGCACTATTTAATTAATATTACATATTTAAGGTAAGCATTTAAAAATTTGCTGTGCATACTACAGTCTCTGTGCTCACAGTGTCTCAGACACTTATATTTTAGTTGAATCACTGTCAGGCCATCCGGGATTTCAGTATGGAGATAAAGGTTAGGGTTATAATTTTTCAGTATTACATGACATCGTGAGTGCGTATATGCACAGTTTGTTGTTTTTTTTGGGGGGGCATCTGGCAGAGCGTTAGGACCCATAAGCGATGAAGCATGATGTCAGTTGTAACAAGCAGATATTCTTAACCACTATCCAACCGTGAATCTTTATCCACATAGATCTTTAATATGAATATTTTTTGGTAATTCATTAAATATCGCCGGCTAAAAAGTAACTAGTAACTAGTACTCTGAGTAGTTTTTGAGAGGAGTACTTTGTACTTTTACTTAAGTACTGTTTTGACACCAGTACTTTTACTTGTAATTGAGTATTATTTCAGCAATGTAACAGTACTTATACTTAAGTACAAATTTTCAGTACTCTTTCCACCACTGCAAAAATGTGAACACGCATGTGAATATGTATTATGGTGTTTTTGTGAAAAATTACATACAGCACCTTTGATATAAATTAATACTACAATATTTTCCATGTACGATACATTTCATTGCAATTAACACGCAATTAAGTGTTTAAAATATTACATTCGGTTTGCATTTAAGTATTTTCTTTTAAAGTATATTATTTCTGTAATAACTACTGTTTTTAAATGTATGCTAAGTGTGCTTATTTTTCACAAGGGATGTTTTGTTTTATTCTACAAGTTGCCCCTTATTGGAAGCAGCCATGTTGAGAGTCAATTTTTTCCGTCCTCCATTTTTGACAACCTCCATTCTTGACACTTCTATAAGCATAATTTGCATTGTTATCAATCTTCAATAATCCACCTGACAGCCATAATAAACAACCCCACTATCTGAAGACTTGTAAACAGTTTTATCTGTAATTCAACAGAGCGTCTTAATCTTCAAGTTGAAAGTTTTATCATTTTAGAACTCTCAGTGAACTTAAAATATACAACGCAAGAGCATAGCTTGGGGGGAAAAATGTAAGCTCATTTATAGGGAAGAAGACATGCTGCATTCTATCACTTAAATACATCACTGGACTGAGAAGTCACTGGGCACTTGAAATATTCCTGTGTAAATATCTCTCTATAATGCTACATTACATTGACTTTTATGCCTGCATTTTTCTTAAAATTAACTTAAGCAAATATTTTTTGAAATACCACACATGCAATGTCCCTGACAGATAACACTAAAACAGGTGTCCAAAGAAATCACATCTGTCTGTAATAGCCCTAGGCTCGGTAAACAGCTAAAAAGTGTCAAGAAATACTGTATTTTCTGGATTATAAGTTATATTTCTTTTTAATCATCTGGAACATGCTGTTAACGTCAAGCACGTAAAACATGGAACAAAAAATCTTTTGCTAATCGACATTACAGCCCACTCATCATAACACTAAAATGCAGTCAATGAAACAGAAAAAGCTGCATAGCTCAGTTTAAACTGATTGTTGTACAGTATTGAAGAAAAACTGAAATGCAGTGGAAATGTGGAATCACTGAGTGTGATGATGGTGCTTTATTCTGATGAATTTGTGGTAAAGCACTTGGTGTTTAATAAATATTGTTTATAATGAATACTAATATGTTTATTTTATACTTCTGTTATTTGTTCTTGTTCTGTTCTGAATAGTGTTCAATAGAAGGATTTTTTGTGGAGCGAGAGGAACTAAAATGTTTGTATTGTTTATAATGTTCATTTACTGGTATCTTACATTATTTCTGGATATAACTATAAAATACGACTTATATATGTTTTTTTTCCCTAACAACACTGTGTGACTTATATATTCAGGTGCAACATTTTTTCTGGAAAATGGTACTTCCTGCCTGTCAGTGACGCAACAAAAAATACTCCAATCTTGATTGGCTGACTTTATGTAACTTCTGAGATTAAGATCAAGAGTCAGATTTTTGATCAGTTTGAATGAAATTTGTGTTAAGAAGGATAGCCCCACCTCTAAATAACACATGAAACATAAGGTGGTTTCCTTCTGTCTGAGAAGTGGACAGTTCTTGGCCAGAATAAATTGCCACGAAAAGTAAAATGTGTGGACTTGTGAGACTAGACCGAAGTTAGCAAACATCTGAAATCACTTACAGCAAATCTAACTGTCAATATCCAGTTAGCTAGCTAAAGTTGCTAGGAACCTGAAGCATTTCCTTATTTCCCTACGGTTACCTGAGAATCGCATGGAGCCTCCTCTTGTGAAGAGGGGTGGAGCCTGGAAGGTGTAGATGACATCACTCTCTGAGATACTCGTCATATCATCTTCATCAGAGAAAGAGCGCTGGAACCCATTTGAGTTCATCTCTGTCAAAATCACCTACAAGAGAAAGAGAAATGTTGATTTGAGAGTAAAACATCCTTGCACACCATGAAACGGATTATTCACATGAACAAGAATCTTGGGCCCTAGTAAAAAAAGAAGATTTCAGGTTCTTCTCAAGCCATTTTCCAAAAGCTGTTGTCACATCACAAATCCACAGATAAGGGGATTTTAGCTCAAACACTCAGCATGACGAACTATTAGATCTATTTCTATTGTTTTCTGTTTCACTCACTCACTCCATTACAATAGTTCACATCACTTTTTTGTTCTCTACCACACACACATACATTTACAAGTGTACACAGACACATGGGCTATATTACATATATTACAAATCATATACAAAAAAAATCACCTACCACCACAAGGGGGAGACACCATCTACATTAGTATATCAGTGCAAGATCCCCTGCTAATACAAGGCAAATTTTTACAAATTGCTAAGTAATACCTATTCTAAGCTCTGTGAAATAGGCTAAATAAAAATCTGTTGCCTGAACCCATCATATAATATTCAGTATTGAAATCTATCTGTAGTAAAGGCTAAGAAGGTAGTCAGTAATCCCTTTTCCCTTAAAGGGGTCATATGATGCGATTTCAATTTTTCCTTTCTCTTTGAAGTGTTACAAGCTCTTGGTGCATAAAGAAGATCTGTAAAGTTGCAAAGACTAAAGTCTCAAATCCAAAGAGATATTCTTTATAAAAGTTAAGTCAACCACGCCTACCTAAAACGGCTTGTTCTAACACGCCGCCCAAATGTCCACGCAAAGAAAGGCGGCGTAACTTTTATTCTCGCTGTAGTATTGTTGCAGCCGCCATGTCGTGAAGGCGCTGTGTGTTTCGTTGTGAAAGCGAAACTACTTTGTTTGGCCTTCCAAAAGGGGACGATATCCGCTTCGTCATGCCTGGAGCTGATCCGTGCTGGTCGTTGAGGAAATACATAAACTTCGCGCTGTGGATCGCCCGATTGGCTTTCACAGTGGATGAAGCAGAGTCCAGCCCGGGGTCGTCACACGTGGATGCCGCAAGCCCGCCGGCCACTCCTTCGTCGAATCCGCCGGCCGCCGCTCACTCTAGCCCTCTGGCCTCCGCTCACTCTAGCCCGCAGGCCTCCGCTCACTCAAGGCCGCCATGTGTGACGCTGTGTTTCGTTGTGAAAGCGAAACTACTTTGTTTGGCCTT